CCCCCCCCCCCCCCCCCCCCCCCTCTTTTTTTTTTCTCAAAAGAGGTGGAAAAAACAAAATGTAAAGTGACACAAAATATCATGAATCATTTACTGTCTTGGATGCAACAGAATTTTTCATTCATAATTTATGACTGCAAGATGTTACGCAAGTCCTATGACAGTGAGTCAATTATCTGGTTTCCTTTATGGAACTAATATTGAAAAATTTACTGGGCATCCAATCATTCAACATGCCATTTTTTGACTCTGATAGTCTGATATTTTAATGCTTCATGCCATAAATGAATTAGTTAGATTAAATTTTTTAGGGTTGCTGTATGCCACATTGATATTGTGATGTTTCTTACATTATCATAAAATCATGTATTGCCATACTGATAGTCGACATCGTCATTTTAAAATCATGTAATTTTTTAGACTTGGGATTTCTATCTCTTGAACAAGTTGTATTAGACTAAAGCAAATAAATAGTCGACATCATCATTTTAAATGGAAAAATATTTAACTCATATTTATGCAATTTTTTACTGTAAAATGATGATATGCTGATTATTTATTGACATATAACTTGTAGATTGTTTTCAAGAACTTCTCGTATCTCTACAGCCTCATCCATTACATCATCTTACAATATGTGCCATTACTATATGTAATAATAATCTATATTCTATATCTATAACAATCAACTTTTAGTGTACACATTTCTTGACCCATTTTGCCCTTCCAGCTGTGCTGTAACTGCACTGACACAGTCTCCTTTCTTGAAGCACTGTAACTGTACACTCCAATTTCAGTTTCATGTTTGAAGTAGTGGTATGTTATAAATTAATTATTCTCATTCTTCTCATCATACCCAAAAAAAAAAAATGTGGACAGAGTGCATGTCTTTATGCTAATATATATATAGGAATCTAGTGGACAAGTGATCAAGCTCCTCAAAGTTCAAGTTCTGTACAATAACCCTATTTGGAAAACACTTGCCCCTGAACAATGAATTTCAATCTTTGAACTGTGTAAATTTAGAGGGGATATATGTATATGCTTTGTAAATGTAAATTTGCAGAAGATCAGTGTATTATTATCTTGAAAAATTATGGGACTGCATGCTGTTGACATTATTAGTTACTGCAATTCAAGATTATCAAATAATTTGTAACTTCATATGGAGTCTGGGTGTACATTATTTAATTATTTTTTGTTTCTTGTTCATGGTGCAAGCCTTGGATATCTTCATATCTTAGTCTTTTGCATGCTTTTTTGCATTGTTATGTTAGTCCTTCTGGAAAATAAGGGTATAGGGAAGAATAGGGATTTAGGTTGTAATTGCAACAACTTTGCATACATGACAAGGATGGTAGGAGGGAAGGGAAAATGTTAGAAGCAAATGACAAGAGGGAGGGAAGGGTAGGGGTGAGGACATCCAATCATTGAGTTTAGGAGCCTTTGGGTCAGCAGGTTTTTGCAGACCCTTAAAATTTTGCAGTGTTCTATTCTATCTTTTGTTTTTTGTTTTTTTAGTGGCTTTGATGTCCCAAATTGGGGTCTATCCCTATATATCGATGGTAAAATACTTAGTTCCTATCATACACCATTCGATGGGTATTAACCTTTTACAAGTATTGCCTGAATGAAAGATTAAAGAGGTAAAGAAAAGCCTTCAACTTGACAAGGTTAATTTAGTTCCATCATTCCATGCATGTCTTTTCCTGGAGTTCAATAGTAAAAACTGCTAGTTTTAAAGAGCCAATGATGCTTAACTAGGAACCTTTTTAGTGTTCATGGATAAATGACTCTAACCCAGTAAAGGCAAGATATTGCTTTTATCAGTTTATGATGTGGAAATAAAGTGATAAAAGAGATGATGGGTGGAAATTGGCATATAATATACAACTTAAGTCGCATTTCTATGAAATTTAGTTTAATCACTTATTCTTTCCTTTTTTTTATTTATATATAATTGGCTGAGACTGAACATTAAATCAAGAATTAGATCAAGCTCTGGTAAAACCATGGAAATCTCTACAATGTGGTTGGCATATCCTTTAAATATAATAAAAATAAAAAATAGTCGAGCAATAAACAATAATTTTTCAAGGGATTTGCTCTTCATATCTTATATGTTGCTATAACTTTCTATTTGCAAGATCTTCATACGCAAATATTAGAGAGAGCTTTATTCGTAATGCTTTAAGAAGTCAACAACTCAACCAAAATTTTGTATGTTATGGTTCTTTTCTTGCATGCTTTTTGTTATAAGACTATTGACAAATCATATACTGTTTTTCATTGCAGTTCGTCCCAAAGAAAGCTGGTACCCCAAAGAAAAATGAGATTGTGTTCACTGCACCAACAGGAGAGGAGATCAATAACAGGAAGCAGCTGGAACAATATTTGAAAGCACACCCTGGAGGTCCAGCTGTATCAGAATTTGATTGGGGCACTGGTGAGACCCCAAGAAGATCTGCAAGAATCAGTGAGAAGGCAAAGGCAGCTCCTCCAACAGAAAGTGAGCCCCCAAAGAAACGTAGAAGATCATCAGTTTCAAGAAAGGAAACTTCTCGGGAAGAGAAAGAGGAGACAAAGGAAGCAGAAATGCAAGAAACTGATGATACTAAGGATGATAAAAATATAGAGGAAAAGAATGTTGTAAAGGAAAATCAAGATGACAAGAGTGTGGAGGATACTGATATCAACAAATCCACTCATTCTGGAGAAGCTAAAGTAGAAGAAAATGTCGAGGTACCTATTGATGAGGAAAAATCCAATGCTGTTGATGCAGAGCTAAATGCATTGAAAGATAAAGTTGATGACAAAGGAGCTGAGGGTTCTGAAGTTTCTCTGAGAAAAGATACATCCACTCCTTCTGGAGAAGCTAAAGTAGCAGAAGATGTCAAGGTACCTATTGATGAGGAAAAATCCAATGCTGCTGATGGAAAGCCAAATCAATTGAAAGATAAAGTTGATGACAAAGTTGCTGAGGGTTCTGAAGTTTCTCTGAGAAAAGACGAAGAAAAGATTGGGCAACCACAGGAAGAGTCAAAAGAATATCGTGGATCTGGGGAGCCAGAGAAATCGGAAACATGCACTACAGCTGACAAAACGGTTGAAGTGGAAGGAGTGAATAAAGAAGAACACATCAAAAGTACTCGAGAGTTTGAAGGAGTTGAGGGAATAGAAGGAACAAAAGTGAATAGTGAAGAACATCACAAGCTTGATGAGATAAATAAGAAGACTGAAGCAGAGTTGACCGAAAATGGCAATCATGGGAGCTGAACTGGTGAGGTCAAAGCTTGGAGCAGAGAATAGATTAATAAGCTCTTGGCATCTGTCCTCTCATTCTGACCCCTTTAGATCTGTTTAAAGATGACTGTAGTTTTTGTTATTGTTATTTATCTGATTGTTTATTGAAACAACTATATACAATTATAGAGCTTAGCCCTATAATGTACCATGCATGGGTGTATTTGGACAGAAGTGTAGCTTCTAGTTGTTGTTGTAACATTATGTTGTAAGATATGTTATATGGACCTGTAATCATATGTACGGTAGCTTCCTAAGCTATTATCGTGGATATGTCTGGTCAAGTAATTTGGTCCAGGCAGAAGAACAGTGCATATGGAAGTCATCTTTTTCATAGATTTGGATTATGTTTCACTTTTAAGCCACGTGATAATGATTAATTATGAAATACACAAACAACTATAACTGTACATGATTGTTAGAAATCTATCCAGGTACAGGCGGGGTTCATTCACTAGTTATGTTGCTGAAAGTCGTGTGACTGTTATTAGTAGTGTTTACAAGTTGATTTGATTTAAATTTAGAGTGAAATAAAGTTTATATCGGTCAAATTTAATTTTAGTTTACTGTAAACCAAATGAACTGATTAAAATTGGATTTATATGGTTTGAATCATTGAATTAGGCTATTTTTTCCCCATATTATTTATTATCTGAAGTTTTTAATTTAATATTACCACAGACTAATTTTTTAATCTTCAATGATCTTAGACAGGTAAATAAATCCAACTATTAATATTATTTTTAATTTATATATAACTGTTTTTCACAATTATAATTTCATAATCTCGTTAATTTTACCAAAAATATCATTAAGTTAAATACAAAATAAATGAAAACACAAACAAAGAAAAGGTCCAAATATTTGAGTTTAAAACATACATGTAAAAGTTAAAAAGAAATGGTTGATCAAATGGCTGGATTGAGAAAGATAAATTTTGAGAACTTAAAGGACTACAGTTAATTTGGTTGATATATCAAGTAATGAATTTACTAAACCAATTTTAATAGGTCGTTTGAATTAGATTTGGTTTGGTTTGTAAACATTGTCTTTTCCTGTATTCTTGGAAAGAAAAGAGATGATCCAAATCTCATTCATTGAAGTACCTCCCCAAAAAGGGACGGTTCATTGCTAGTGTAAATCTATTTACAGTACCATGTGGATTGCAATACTCAGTAGGTAAAAGGCAGACACCTAAACAGGGGATGACATTTCAAACATTGATGAGATTAATCTAATCGCATTAGCATTAGCCATCCTCCTAGACCACAAACAAAACAAAAAATGAATAAATTAATAAAATAAAAGAATCGAAGGGAAGCACCGCAGCAGGTGCTAGACAGATTTAATATATAGTTATCTACAGTAACTTAAATCCTTTCATTTGGCATGTTAGGTGAGCAAAAATAACAAGCATGTCATTAAATAATGACATGAAAATTACAAATTTCAGTGACCCGGGCTTAGCCTAGCAAAGAATGAGCTTGTTGATCGTTATTAAGTAGATGCTCCATGACACCCAATAGGTGACATGAGTAGGAAAACTCATGGAATTCTCTATATTGATTAGGAAATGATAATTCTTGTAGATTGTTTTCCTCAAAGCCCTTTAAGCTGAGAAGCAAGCCCTGTCATGGAAGTCCACTTCTCAAATGCAGTGGCCGAAGAGACAAAGGCAATTTTTGAGGACTCAACATCATTCTTAGAAACTGCTTAAAAAAGAAAAGTGTCAGCATATGCTCCCAAGTTTATCAATAGAAGAGCATATCTATGAAACAATAATAGCACAGGATGATTTCCGTTCACAAATTGTTATAGTCAATTTGCATGACTTTAAATTATGGTTCTAGTTGCAATTTCTCTGTGATCACTCAAATCTCAGGCAAGTGCTGTATAGTCCCTAGTAGTTATTAAAATATTTGTCCTTTACTAAATTTATATCAAAATTTAGTTTTATATACAATGTTCCAAAATAGTTAACAAAAGACCAATATGACCGCAGTTACAGAGACCTCAAAAGCCACAATATTTTAATCGTAATTCTGGTTGTTGACTATGGGCATATTTGAATAAGTTTTTCAAAAAGCACTTCCAAAAGAAGAAAAAAAGGATGGAAAATCAAAATAAGCTCTTCCATGAGCTAAAACTAACTTATTCATGAGTTAAAAATAAGATTTTGGAGAAATCAATAGGAGATAACTTCTAGAAAATAGCTTAAGCAAAAGCTAGTTTTAGCTTATTCTATTTCATTTCCCTCCCTATTTTTCTATCTTAAAAGTGTTTATGAAGAAATTTACCTAAACAGGTCCTATAATGTAAAATTTTGTGTAAACAAGGCATAGTCATTTGAATTTGGTTGGATACAATTTAGAATGACTTTTAAGAGTTTTTCTACTGAAAATAAAGAGTATTTTCTTGTAAAGAAGCTCTTAAAAGTCTCTTTAAACTTGTATCTAAACATGTTCTTTATTTTTATCTTTTGAGTTTGATTCTAACAAGATTACATGCATCACACCTCATGAAATCAGTGAAGACAAAAACATTTTTTTTATATCTTGTACGAAATTGATTCTTACAACAATACATGCATCACACCTGATGAAATCAGTGAAGCTAATGAGGAATTGAACGTGTCCACCTCCGTCATCTCTTCTGGACTGGAGCTCAGCTGTTAAAAGGTTATATAGAAACTGAGACATCTAAACCTCCAGAGGCAGTTAGAGAAAGATTGAAAACATGGAAATATGCAGTAAGCTAAGTTTTCAAACATTCACAAGAAGATTATAGAGTGTGCTCTAGTCTTTAGTGTATTCATTCCCTCATGGAGTACCACTTTAGAATTTGTCTAGTCAACGTGTTTCAATATCTAACGCATGAAACTGAAAATGGAGGTCACAGTATCCTCCTTTTCTGAAAAATCAAAATTTGTTGACGCAATACTAGAATTTACATATGCAGGAAATAAACATCCGCCAGTACCTGATTGATAGAGTAATGAGCAAACCATCAATTTAGTCCCTAAAGTATCACCCTCTTTCGTAGGTGGTCTTTAAACCATTGAAATTATGTAAATAATCATTAAAGTATCAGAAATTATGCTATATAGTCCCTCAACTATTAAAAAATTCTTTACATTAGTCCCTCAATTCTAATGAGATATATTAACCGAGGGACTAAATTGATGGATATTCAATACTTTAGGGACTAGTTATATAATTTCATTAGTTTGAGGACTATCTCGGAGAGGATAATACTTTAAGGACTAAATTGATGGTTTATTCTAGAGTAATTTGCAGATAGTTTGTCACATATTATTCCTAATGGATACAGTCATATCACTCATACTCAGGAACCAAACAAACCTTATTGAAAGCAATATTAGCTCTTTGGACCCATTCTGTATCAGTGCCTCCCCCAAGGACAGAACCAGCTGCACTAAGATCATTCTTTTCAAGTGCTTGACCAACTGCACTTAGCTTGTACACAAGATCTTGAAGATATCCTGCTTACAAATTTCAATTTTATTAGTAAAGTCACTTTTGGAGCTTGGCCTCGTAGAAGGCATCCATAAACAATAATGAGCTTCATTGCATTTTTAGTCCCTTGGATATCACAATTGTTCAATTTTGACCCTTGTGGTTCAATTGTGCAAATTGGATCATCGAGTTTCTCCCATTTACAATTAGGTCCTTTCTTCTTGATTTCATCCAATATTTAAGTCATTAATTTACACGGAATGGAAAGACAGTATTGTCATATAAATAATAATTTACCCTCACGCACTTCAACACAATAATTAAGTCAATACAGTTGCATTTTTAGATCATTTTCTTTAAATATTCTGTCTTTTAGCTAGTACATTGTATTTATTCATTGCCAAGTTATGCTCAATTTGTCACGTCAGCTAATTTTGTTTAATATCGGATGAAATCAAGATTGAAGGACCTAATTGTAAATGAAAGAAAACTCATGGGACCCAAGTAGCACAAATGGAATCCGAGAGGCCAAATTCGCATAATCACAATCACAATACCTAGGAGACTATGTTAAGATACAATCAAAATCTCACAACATTAAAACAAAATGATGAACATACTTTATAACACTACAAATGGTATCATAACTGATGGTTTCAACTAGGTAATCAGTTCATATGAAATCATGAAAGTGAAGTGTGAGCCTACAGATATAAGAAATAATAGATGCCTAGTGTAATGTGTTCTCTTTAAATCTCAGCTGTATTACATTACATTACTAAGTCTGAGCCTGAGCCTACGAACAAGCCCAATAAATAGACAAAGAACTTGCATCTTTACAGTATTCAATTTCTGAAGATGAAAACATTGTAAGTTAAATGTAACACGGGGGAGGATGGTATCAAATATAATGTAATGAGCAAGGTAAATGTGTTAGAATAAATTTAAAGCAGACAATTAAATTTCAACTAGCCTCCGCAAATGCTCAAATTTCGCCCAATTGACAAATTTATCTGCTTTCCGCAGAGACAGACAAATTAATAAAGAAACATGTCATCCAAAATCAGATTTGATACAAAACGCACAATAGTACAAACTAATATTTTGAGCCAAATTTGTTGATTCAAAATCCTAAGTTATGGTATAAATTAAAGCAATATAGCCTCTTCAGAGTGCAGACTCTCAAACCTATCACTATAAATCTATTTGCATTCTAATATGAACCTTGCCCAATTGCACATTAGAATGAGGAAAATACCATGAAAATTATCTTAATATTCGATAGATAGTAACAAGTATAGTAAGAGGAATACTAACGACACTATATCTTATACTCTCTTCATTATTGACTGAAGTTTAAAATTTATTAGAACCACATTTTGTACGCGTGCATCTCATTTAACGAGTAATAGTCGTTCCTAGTTTAGTAGTTAAACTAACTAAAAATTGTGATTTTTAACTAATGGTAAGAAAATATTAAAAAAATAGTATTAAAAAGAGAATATTGTTTGCATTTTTTTCGCCATAACTAAAGATTAATATGTGATCAGGTGACTTTTCCTGACAAGCATTATTTTAACATTATAGAAATCAATCCTGATAACACCAGATCGACCCCTTACAACCAAACCACTGAATAAAAGGCTTGGTTTTTGGTGACATTGTAATAGGATAAATGGGTATCTTGGAGTGACAGGAGTGGCACATTGAGCTAACAATGAAGTGAAAAGCAAAGAGTAATGTGTTGAGGAGTGGACCTGTTTCTTGTTTGGAAGAACTGATGACACCTTGCTTCTCAAGTCTCTTCTTTCTGTCACGCTTTACTTTTTCCAAGAGTTCTACATCATCATCTGCCTCAAGTATTGCTGCATTCGCATTTGCATTCTTACCAGCCAATGAAAGCACAAAGCTGGTGAGGAAGCTGATGGACAAGCCTCTTTTTGTCACAATTGGAGAATGTGGGTTGCATCCTTTGCAGAGGGTCAATTCCCTTTTCACACTGCATTTGATGGGGTTGTAGTAAACACGTGTTGAGGAAGAGGAGGGCACGAAGGGGTTAGCGGTTGAGAGAAAATTTGTTGCCATTTCTCTTTCCTTCCTCTCTTTCTATTTTGTTCTCTTATTTTCAGGTATTTTTTGGCAGCAAAATTCTAAGACATGGCAATTTTGATCCCTCTGAGGATAAGGTTGCTGGATTGTGTAACCTGATCCAGTCATTGGGGGCATTGCAGTCATATTCAAAATTAACCGTATTAAAATCGACATTACCATCCGTTGTCGTTGTCGCGTATTTCCTTTCAACTGTGACCAAAGGTTGCGAGACCAGGGTGGGGAAAAACTCGCAACTCGAACCCAACACGCAAAAGTAGAAAGTATTTATTTATTTATTTTTAATAGGTGGGAGTTGTTAGGTAATGTGAGTTCAATATGTGGGAACCCGACCAACCTACATTAAGTAAAAATGAAAATAATGTTATATAAATTAAAGGATGTTATAATTAAAATAAATATTATAAATTGATTAGTAGATATATGGTTTGAAGTTTATAATTAAAATATAAATTTAATGTGACTTTTGAATCATAAAAATTGAAAATAAAAAAGTAAGTGTTTTGTCCTTTTGTCATTAAAATTAAAAATTGAAAATATAAAATTATCTAATTACATAATTATGATATATTTGTAACAAAGTTATGGAAAAAGAATCGTGTGTCATTCTATTGATCAATAGGTAATTATATAAAAGGATATGGCAGCTACTGATCTTAAATTACAGGCTAGATTATCTCCCTCATATATCCTTGATATGATTTGACATTATTCTACAATAAAGGAGAATTAAAACGGATAAAATGTACGCCAAATTAATTATTCCAATTGATAAAATAATCCCAAGAATTGTGCATGAGAGCATAACTCGTATAGCATATCCCATATTACCCTCCCTCAAGGTGGAGCATGAGGATTACGAATGCCCAGCTTGTTAAGCAGAGTCTGAAATTGATGTCATCCCAAGGCTTTTGTAAGGATGTCGGCAAGTTGCTCTTGTGTCGGAACATATGGTTGAATGGTGCCTTGGAGTATCTCATTATGAATGAAATGACAATCCACTTCAATATGCTTTGTCCGTTCATGGAAAACTGGATTTTTCGCTATATGTAAAGCAGCCTGACTATCACAATGGAGGTGCATAGGTCCTTTATGAGAAATGCCTAAATCAGCCAGTAAGCTCCGAAGCCACTTAAGTTCACAACAAGTAGTAGCCATAGAACGGTATTCTGCTTCAGCGGATGAACGAGAGACAGTATGTTGTTTCTTGGTTTTCCAAGATATAGGAGAGTGACCCAAGAACACAAACCACCAAGTAGTTGAACGTCTAGTTAATGGACATCCGACCTAGTCGGAATCACACCATCTATGTAGTTGGAAATCAGATGTGCTTTTGAGGAGAATTCCTTGCCCAGGACTTTCTTTGAGGTATCTCACAATTCGAATGGCTGCATTCCAATGTTCTTCACGCGGTTGTTGCATGAATTGCGACAAGGTATGGACACAGTAGGACAATTCCGGTCTGGTGAAACACAAGTATATGAGGCATCCAACAAGGTGTCGATACCTGTCAGGTTGATCAATGTAGCATCCAGTGGCTAGTCCAAGTTGATGATTCTGCTCAAGAGGTGTAGCCACGGGCTGTGCACCAAGTAGGCCTACTTCTTGAATGATGTCTAATTCATATTTACGCTGACACAAAAATATTCCACTTGAATTCCTTGCAACTTCTACTCCCAAAAAATATTTTAAATGTCCCAAGTCTTTCATGTGAAAGCACTTGCTAAGATATTCTTTAAAGCATAGAATTGCAGCGGAATTGTTCCCACATATGATCAAATCATCTACATATACCAGAACCATCATTTGCACTTCATGGACAAAAAAAGTAAAGAATGAGTGGTCACAACTTGATTGACGGAATCCAAAGTTTATCAAAGCAGATGATAATCTGGCAAACCAACAACGAGGGGCTTGCTTCAAACCGTATAAAGACTTCTTCAATTTACAAACATGGCTCGGTTGAGAAGCATGAAAGCCTGGAGGAAGCTTCATGTAGACATCTTCATGTAGATCACCATGAAGGAAAGCATTGTGGACGTCCATTTGATGCAATTCCCACTTCTTTGTCGCTGCAACAACAAGAACAAGGCGAACTGATAAAACTAGATGAAGACCGGTTGTTGAATCTTCATAGTTCCACCTTCATTCGACCTTTGCACCTTGAGGTTGATTCAATTAGAAGCTTGAAACACCTTTGAAGAACCTTCAATGGTGGAGAAACAACTTGGATGGTTCGGCCACTTCAAGAAGCTTGAAGAAGCCTAAGGAACCTAGTTCAAAGGTTGAAAACCTTTGAAGAAAAACCTAGAGGAGAAGCTCCACGGTTTTAGAGATTTAAAAGAAGAGAGAATTCTAGTAGAATTTCTGAATTCATTCATCAAAAGTGAAGTATTAGGTCATATTTACAAATATATAGGGAGAGGTAGCTTGTAGTGTAAGCTAACATTAACCATGGTTCACTAGGAACCATGGTAAGGTTTAGCCTAACCGTCCATGATTTCTAAAACTTGTAGGAGAAGATAACCTTGACCATGGTTCACTTAAGAACCATGGTAAGGTCAGTCTAACCTCCCAAGGTTTAGAAGCTTGGAAGGCAAGCTTCAAAGCTTGAAGGAGAAGACTCAAATTTGGCCAAGAACAAGGTAAAGAGCTAGGTGGCCAAGACTCAAAAATGCTCACTTGATTTATTTTAAAATATTTGATTTGGTTTAGTTAGGTTCATCATATGATGATGAGACCTATCTAAGTCAAATCTATGAAAAATTAGGAGCAAAATGAGTCTAATGTGCAAAATTTTGCCTAGGCCCAGTTCTGGCCCAATTACTAGTCACACCCTCAAGCATTGCTAAATGTCACCCCTTTTTCCTACTGAAAAAATAGAAAATGAATGTATCAACAAGGGAGGTTAAATGGAGTTAAACTCTCCAAGTAACCCACCCTAAAATCAATATACAATCACTAATTAAAAGCAAGCAAAGTGCCTCACAAATACAAAGACAAAATTAGACCTATACAAAGGAACTATGTACAAAATATATACAATTAGAACTAGGCCTTCTCTTCATGATAGAGTAGTCCAAATGAAAAGTACCTTGTATTCTTATAGCCATAGCTGTAGTGACTAGGCCCTTGGCCCATGGTCTATCACGAACCGTAACTATTTTGACAATAGGGGCAAATGTCTCAGTATAATAAACCCCTTCTTTTTGATGATTCCCGAGAATAACCAGACTCGCCTTGTATCGCTCTATTGTGCCATCTGAATTATGCTTGATCTTGTATACCCATTTACAACCAAGAGGTTTCTTCCCATCCGGTACAGTTTCTAGAGACCATGTCCCATTAGTTTCTAATTCATGAAGTTTTTGCTGCATTGCAAGCCTCCATTTGGCATCTTGCACTACTTCAACATAATGAGTGGGTTCTCGGGCTAGAGTAATTGATAGACTGTGGCCAAGGCCAAGGAATCCAAGAGGTGATATCTTAAAAGAACCAAGAGGAATGGGATGATCTTAAAGGCCTTTTCATATGTTTGTACATATAGTAATCTCTTTGTATAGGCTTATTTTTGCCTTTGTATTTGTGAGGCACATTACTTGCTTTTATTAGTGATTGTATATTGATATTAGGGTAGGTTAATTGGAGAGTTTAACTCCATTTAACCTCCTTTGTTGATACACTCATTTTCTATTTTTTCAGTAGGAAAAGAGGGGTGGCATTTAGCAATGCTTGAGGATGTGACTAGTAATTGGGCCAGAATTGGGCCTAGGCAAAATTTTACATATTGAACTCATTTTGCTCCTAATTTTTCATAGATTTGATTTAGCTAGGTTTCATAATCATTGGATGAACCTAACTAAACCAAATCAAACATTTTTGAAGTTAATTCAAGGAGCCAAAAGAGACCAAATCCGCCCACCTTACCTAGTCTCCTTTCTTTGACCGAATTGCTTTTCTAACCTTCAAGGAGATGAGAAGCTTCTACTACAAGCTTCTCTTTAGCTTGCTTCCCAAGCAAGGTAAGTGATAAGCTTGCTCCACAAGTTTCTAAACTCACCTAGAAGGTCAACTAACCTTACCATGGTTCCTAGTGAACCATGGTTAAGGTTAGCTTGCTCCTTAAGCTACCTACCTCTATATATTTGTAATTTCTACTCTTGTAATCACTTTTGAACATTTTGAGAAATATAATTCTGAATTCTCTCTGAGCTCAAGAGTCCTAAATCCATGGAGAACAAAATCTCTTAGTTTTCTCTCAAAATTCTTCTCCTAGAAGCTTGGTTCCTCAAGCTTCCTCACCTTCACAAGAGGTAACCGAACCTCTCTTAGGTGCTTCTCCACCATTGGAGAATCCTCCAAGGTGTTTCCGCTACTTCAAGGAGTTCAACCTCAAGAAAATTTCAGTCCTTGCATGGAATGGCTTGGAAAAAAAACAATCCTCTCCAAGTAATTCCATCAGTAATAGCAGCAACAAACCTGCAATGCTTTTTAGAGAAATTTTCACAACTTATATAGTGAGATATAGGATAGGGAGTACCTGAAGAATACTGTGAAGAGGATTGACTTAGAGATGGACTTAACTTCTTTATGGTGTGAGTTACATACTCACGTAGCTTCACGGAAGGCAATTTGGTACGATGAGCTCTTCCTAGTTCCTCCAAACTGCTTTGACGAACAAGCTCCAGTGAGTCAACATTAGGAGTTGGATTATTTCCTTTTTCTACGAGCTCATCACTTCTCTCACTGTCTAAGGCAACAGTTCCCCCCTCACTTCAGAACCTGTAACTACCTCAATGAGTGTATTTTCTCCCATCCTTGTGTCATTATCCAAATCATTATCATCATCATTATCCAATGCATCGTTCATTAACGATGAATCCACAGATAAATCATATTTGACCCCAACTGTATGTGTGAAAGGAAACTCTGTTTCAAAGAACTCAACATCATGAGACAAAAAATAGTATTGAGTATCTAAATCAAATAATTTCCAACCCTTCTTCCCATAAGGGTAACCCACAAAGATACACTTTCGACTTCGACTAGCAAACTTATCACCATGTCTATCCAAGTTGTGTACGT